AATCAAAGTGAAATGAAGAATTCAATAGAACAAATAAAAAATGTAGTAGAGAGCCTTAAAAATAGAAGCAGTGAGGCAGAAGAGAGAATTTCAGACTTAGTAGACAGAGCACAGAAAAGTATACGGTCAAACCAAAGACAAGAGGAAATTAGAAATCTAAAAAATACTGTTGGGAATCTACAGGATACTATTAAAAAAAAAAACACACAACATTCGGGTTCTAGGAATTCCTGCAGGCATGGAGAGGGAGAGGCAGGATAAGAAGGCATTTTTAGTGAAATACTAGCAGAAAACTTTCTGGGTTTGGAAAAAGAAAAAGATGTCCAAGTACAGGAAGCACACAGAACTTCAAATATACATGACCAGAAGACATCCTTTGCATAACACATCGTAATCGAACTAACCAAAGAGAAACAAAAAGCAAAATTCTAATATGCCTAAGAGAGAAATGCCAGATTACTTTCAGAGGATCTCCAATTAGACTCACAGCAGACTCTCATCAGAAACCCTGCAGACTAGGAGAAAATGGCAAAATCTAGCCCAAGTCCTAATAGAAAAAAACTATCATCCCAGATTATCATACCCTGCAAAGCTCTCATTTGTAAATGAAGATGAAATAAAGACTTCATAACAAAGAGAAATTGAAAGAATTTGCCACCACTTGTCCAGCCCTGCAAAGATGTTTAAAGATGTGGTACACAGAGAAATATGGCAAAGTCATTACTTGAAGTGTCGTGTTGTTTTGGGAGCATCATGATGTCTTCCTTATTCTTGTTTCTTGGATTCTTGCATTTGTTCGGCATTTGTGGAGATACTCATTTTTTTCTGTTGTGGCGGCTTAAATCATTGTATTCACTATAGATAAATGGACTTTCTGCCTTCAGTGAATCTCTAGAGGCTTGTAGTGGGTGTGGCCAGAGAGCTCAGTTCAGTTCTCAAGGGTAAAGCGTATGCCTAAGATGAAACACCCACGTTTGGCATGGTGATACTTCTTTTTTAATCAGAAGGGAGTTACATTCTGTTCAGTTGAGCTCTTCTCTTCAATGGAGACCAGTGCCTGAGTACTAAATCAAGTGGGTATAATATTTGCTCTGTCCCAAGGACCACATAAGGATCTGTGGTCCGCATGTGGGACCTCTGTCCTTAATGAGTTGTACCATGAGAATTAACAGTAAATCTATTCTTCAAACACCTGTTTAGCTAGGACCCTAGAAAAAGTGCTCAGGCAAGCAATATTGTGAAAAATTAGTTCTAAGTAATATGAATGATAACCCAGATAAAACAGCAGTCCAGCAAATCACTCAACCTCACTGAAATTACCAGCAGCCACACCATTCATTTTCTATTAAATCTGTTTATAATAAGATTTAATTTGATGAACACTTGTAAGAATCTGTGGGGACTTAAACAGGGATGAAGAGCTATTTCTGATGGGTAGTAATGGAGGTGGAATGGATTACTTGCACAGCTATTCTCTAAATGGGAAATAAAAGAGGTACTGCAGCTAGATGCATCCTAGCATTTGCAAACCTGTTATCATGGGATAGCCATGCAACCTAGACCAAGTGTTCCTCTTGAGGGTATCCTGAGGAATGAACTGAATGTAAATTAGATTTATGTAAATCAGGAAAGGACTTTGTAAATTGGAAGGGATAAAAACACATTTTTTTTTTTTTGACAGGCAGAGTGGACAGTGAGAGAGAGAGACAGAGAGAAAGGTCTTCCTTTGCCATTGGTTCACCCTCCAATGGCCGCCGTGGCTGGTGCACCACGCTGATCTGATGGCAGGAGCCAGGTACTTCTCCTGGTCTCCCATGGGGTACAGGGCCCAAGTACTTGGGCCATCCTCCACTGCACTCCCTGGCCACAGCAGAGAGCTGGCCTGGAAGAGGGGCAACCGGGACAGAATCCGGCGCCCTGACCAGGACTAGAACCTCCTCCAAGGTGGAGGATTAGCCTAGTGAGCCGCAGCGCTGGCCCAAAAACACATTTTCAATAAAAATGAGGGCCACCTGTAGGAGCAGGCAATAATATAACAAAATAAAAAATGTTATAAAAATTACAGCAAAGTTAAATTGATACAAAGGTGTTCTACAGGGGCTAGCACTGTGGTGCAGAAGGTCAATGCCCTAGCCTGAAGTGCTGGCATCCCATATGGGTGCCAGTTCGAGACCCAGCTACTCCAATACCAATCCAGCTCTCTGCTATAGCCTGGGAAATAGTAGGAGAAGGTCCAAGTGCTTGGGCCCCTGCACCTATGTGGGAGATCTGGAGGAAGCTCCTGGCTTTGGATCAGCACAGTTTCAGCCATTGTGGCCAATTGGGGAGTGAACCAGAGGATGGAAGTCATTTCTCTCTCTCTGCCTCTCCTCTCTCTGTGTAACTAACTTTCCAATAAATAAATCTTAAAAAAAAGTGTACTACATTTATGCTCCTGCTTCTCTGTTGCAATGCGTACACCTGGATAGACTTCATTCCATGTTCTTGTCTCAAGGCAATTAGGAATTGAATGAAGAAGAGTAGAAAAGGGGGATCATGAATGAAAAAGGCATTATGCACTCAGTAATACAGGAAAATTCAGGAGATGAGTGTTGCAACTTACAGGGTTTGAGGTTGTCCCTTTAAAGAATGAGGATGAGTGTGGGACAACATCTACTTGCATATTCAAATAGACCCTGGGTAGTGGAGTCTAATCAAGATGTGCACACAGATGAGTTGAAATTTCTCATGGGTACATAAGTCACCACAAACCCATTCCCTTGTGCTGCACACAACACTTATTATCAAAGGTTGGGGTACACCTTTATGGCTGGAACATGTGTCACTTGATATGCCTATGGTCACTTCACTTGTTTGCACTACAATAATGTGGGGAAAGAATCCTGGGTGGAAAACAAAGCAGCTATAAAATAAATAACTTTGTAATTGATGAAGATGGTATTCCAAATAACTGTTGCAATGACCATTACTCAACATTTAAATATTTATTAACAAAATTTATACGAGAGCACAGTTCAGTTCATATACTTGATCCCACTCACAATAATGAGAAACTAAAACTGCAGATTGTATAAGAGAAAAAAATTCTGAAGAACAGTTAACCACTCTCTGTCACAATTCATCATGAAAACTGCCCAATACTTACTAAGGTGTGATTCCACCAAAGAATTCTTCCAAACAAATTATATTTCAAGGACTTCTCTCTGTAATCTTGCTATGTTTTGTGGAAGTCTGCCTAATAATGGCATTTCCATTCCAATACAGTCATAGGCTTTTTTCTTTCTGTGAGTTGTCAGGTAACCATTGAGAGATGACATACGGTACATAACTTTTCTATGCGTGAATGTTTTCTCATTTCTGAGTCTCTTTATGTGAATTCATTAATGGTAGAAGAATTTTTCACATTCATTAAATTGACATTTTACTGTATAAATTCTCTGGTGTTTGTTGATGTTTAATTTCTTGGTTTTTTTTTAAAGATTTTTATTTATTTATTTGACAGGTAGAGTTACAGACAGTGAGAGAGACAGAGAGAGGTCTTCCTTCCATTGGTTCAAACCCCAAATGGCCACAATGGCCAGAGCTTTACAAATCCAAAGCCAGGAGCCAGGTGCATCTTCCTGGTCTCCCATGTGGGTGCAGGGGCCTAAGCACTTGAGCCATCTTCTACTGCTTTCCCAGGCCACCTCAGAGAGCTGGATTGGAAGAGAAGCAGCTGGGAGTAAAACTGGCACACATATAGGATGCCAGCACCACTGGTAGAAGATTAACCTACTGTGCCATGGCAGCGGCCCCAATGTTTAACTTCTGGCTATGGTTTTTTCATATCTGCTACACTTAATAGATATCACCTTTGGTGATTTGCATATTTATGCAAGCCTGAATTCCATGAAAATATACCTCCACATTCATTACACTCGTAACAAACCCCTTGTGTGAATTCATCACATTAATATTTCTGACATTTCTTCCTTTTTTTAAAACAAATTACTTTATTTATTTGAAAGACAGTTACAGAGAGAGGTCTTCCATCCAGTGGTTCACTCCCCAGATGGAAATATTGGCTGGAGTGATCCAAAGCCAGGAGCCAGGAGCTTCTTCTGGGTCTCCCACATGGGTGCAGGGGCCCAAGGACTAGGGCCATCTTCTACTGCTTTCTCAGGCCATAGCAGAGAGCTGGATCAGAAGAGGAGCAGCTGGGACTAGAACCAGTGCCCACATGGGATCCCAGAACTTCAGGTCAGGGCTTTAACCCCCTGCACCACAGCACTGGTCCTGACCTTTCTTTCTTATGGTAGTCTCTATTGTATGGGATGCAATTTCCAGCAAAAGGCTCTGTCACAATGGTTATATTGATTTTGGAAAAAAGTTCTTCACATTCATTATATTCTTAAGTTCTCTCCCTTGTTTGAACTACATGTGTTATGAGGTATTCCTTCTGACAAAAGGCTTTCCTACATTTATTACAAGATTTCCACCATGTAATAAATTCTCTGATGTTACATTGTGTGATTTTGGTAGTTTTCCAATATTCATTCCATTCATAAGGTTTCTCCCCCATGTGAATTCTCTGTTTTATGAGGTGTTACTTAAGGATAAAGGCTTTTCCATATGCATTATATTCAAAGTGTTTTCCCCCTCTATGAATTAGATGATGTGCAATGAGGGCTGAATTATGGGAAAAGCTTTCCAAGTCATTATGTTCAAAAAGTTTCTCTTCATGTGAATTTTTTCTTTTTTTGACAGGCAGAGTGGACAGTGAGACAGAGAGGAAGGTCTTCCTTTTGCCATTGGTTCACCCTCCAATGGCCACTGTGGCCAGCACACCATGCTGATCCGAAGGCAGGAGCCAGGTGGTTCTCCTGGTCTCCCATGGGGTGCAGGGCCCAAGTACTTGGGCCATCCTCCACTGCACTCCCTGGCCACAGCAAAGAGCTGGCCTGGAAGAGGGGCAACTGGGACAGAATCCAGCACCCCGACTGGGACTAGAACCTGGTGTGCTGGCGCCGCAGAGGATTAGCCTACTGAGCCACAGCACTGGCCTCTTCATGTGAATTTTCTAATAAATTCTGAGATGTGACTTATTGCCAAGAGCTTTTCTAGTTATTGCATTCATGAGATTTCTCCCCAGTGTGAATTTTCTGGTGTGATATGAGCTATGATCTATAACAAAAGGCTTTCCCACACTCATTGGATTCATAAGGTTTCTGCCCTGTGTGAATTCTGTTTTAATATGAGGTATAACTTATAGAAAAAGGCTTATAGAAAAAGGTAATTACATTTATAAGGATATTTCCCTCTGTGAATTCTCTGATGCATTTGGAGTTGGAACTTAAGACCAAAGGTTTTTCCACAGTCATTACACTCCTGAAGTTTCAACACTGTGTGCATTCTCTGGTGCATTATGAAGTTTGACTTTTGTCCAAAGGCTTTTCCAGTCATTGCATTCATAAAGTTTCTCTACTGTGTTAATTCTCTGATGCACAATGAGTGTTGACTTATGGCTAAATGCTTTTCCATAGTTATTATAATCATGAGTTTTCTACCCTCTGTGAATTCTCTGGTGTGATATGAGGCTTGTTTTTTGTCCAAAGGCTTTTCCAGCCATTACATTCATGAGGTTTCTGCCCTGTGTGAATTTGCAGATGTTTCATGAGGCCTAATTTATGACCAAAGGCTTTTCCACAGTCATTAAATTCATAGGGTTTCTCTCCTGTGTGAATTTGCTGATGTTTCATGTGGTCTTACTTTTGTCCAAAGGCTTTTCCAGTCATTGTGAGGTTTCTCCCCTGTGTGAATTTGCTGGTGTATGATGAGGTCTGACTTTCGTCCAAAGACTTTTCCACAGTCATTACATTTATGAGATTTCTCCCCTGTGAATTCGCTGGTGTATGATGAGGTCTGACTTTTGTCCAAAGGCTTTTCCACAGTCATTGCATTCATGAGGTTTCTCCCCTGTGTGAATTCGCTGATGTTTCATGAGGTATGACTTTCGTCCAAAGGCTTTTCCACAGTCATTACATTCATGATGTTTCTCCCCTGTGTGAATTCACTAGTGTATGATGAGGTCTGACTTTCGTCCAAAGGCTTTTCCACAGTCATTGCATTCATGAGGTTTCTCCCCTGTGTGAATTCGCTGATGTTTCATGAGGTCTGACTTTTGTGCAAAGGCTTTTCTACAGTCATTACATTCATGAGGTTTCTTCCCAGTGTGAATTCTCTGGTGTACGATAAGGTGTGACTTTTGTGTAAAGGCTTTTCCACAGTCATTACATTCATGAGGTTTGTCCCCTGTGTGAATTCACTGATGTTTCATGAGGTATGACTTTCGTCCAAAGGCTTTTCCACAGTCATTACATTCATGATGTTTCTCCCCTGTGTGAATTTGCTGGTGTATGATGAGGTGTGACTTTTGCCCAAAGGCTTTCCACAGTCATTACATTCATGAGGTTTCTCCCCGTGTGAATTCGCTGATGTTTCATGAGGTCTGACTTTTGTGCAAAGGCTTTTCTACAGTCATTACATTTATGAGGTTTCTCCCCAGTGTGAAATCTCTGGTGGACAATGATGACTGACTTCCACAGAAAGCCTTTTCCACAATGATGGCATTTATAAAGTTTCTCCCCTGTGTGAATTCTCTGATGGTTTATGACAAGTGACTTTTGTGTAGAGGTTTCTCCACAGTCATTACATTCAAGAGGTTTCTCTCCTGTGTGAATTTGCTGATTATTTATGAGGTGTGACTTTTGTGTAAAGACTTTTCCAGTCATTACATTCATGTGGTTTCTCCCTTGTGTGAATTCTCTCATGCATTATGAGGTTTGACTTTTGTCCAAAAGCTTTTCCATAGTCATTACATTCATAAGGTGAATTAAAATTGAGTGATTTTCCACAAGGTTTACATGTGTAGAGTTTTTCCCTTGTATTTAGTCTCTGATTTATTGCAAGATGTGACTGGTGAATGACAGGTTCAACATACCTAATGTACTTATAAAATTTCTTTCTTGTGTGAGTTTGTTGATGTATATTGAGGCTAGAATTTTCATGGATAGCTTTTTCTATTTGAGTTGCTTTTCTAAAAGTTGAAAAAGCTTGTATTACAGTTGACTTATTAGAGTATTCTGCCATATGAACCCTCTCAGATTTACAGAACATCTTTCTTGTGAAGACTTTTGCTTCTCCAGTGGGTCCAATTGGCTGCTTCATGATGTGAATCTTGTCATGCTGACCAAGAGACTCACAGAACTGGAGAGAATTTCCAGGTATCTTAGTGTTATCAAATTTTTCTCCAGCCTGTAGTTGATCAGGCCCACTGAGGCTATACACATTGTGACATTTATTGCATTCCTCAGGCTTCAATCCTGAATAGGTTCTCTTTTTAATGATCAGTGTTGGAATATGGCTTGAATTTAAACTAAGTGTTTTTCTTAATTCAAATCTCTTGAGAGCTGATGCCTTGTTATTTTTCATAAAATCCTGATTCAGATTTTTGTCCTGACTTTGCTGGTTGATCCTAATCAGGTCATCTCTTTTCATGCCCACTGAAATGAGAAAAAGCAATCATGTCACTGAATCACATGTAACTGTTTCTCCTGGCATACTCATATAAAGGAAATGAAGTTACTTGTTATCCAAGTGGCATAAGATTTTCACAAAATCAGTACGAGGTACTTATTTATGACCATTATATAGCATAGCTTTTCTCCTTAATACATTAATATATTAAATTGCACCATGAGGTTTCCCAATATTCAAACATGATCCTTTTTACCATGGGAATTGTTCAAGTATGGTAGAATGACTTTTGTGCTATGATGTGTGGGATGCCTGCATCTCAAAACAGTGTCAGTTTGAGCCCTGGCTACTCTGCTTTCAGTACAGCTCTCTGCCTATGTAAACTGGGAGGAAGTAGATAATGGTTCATGTGCCTGGGAACCTGTGAGACACCAGGGAAAACTAGATGAATTCTAGAGTTTCAACTTCAGACTAGTTAGACCTAAGTGTTGCAGGCATCTGGGTAGTGAGCTAATAGAGGACCTCTTTCTCTCCTTTCACTATCACTCTGCTTTCACAAAGTTGAAATAACTGAAAGATTTTAAAGAATGGACAGACATTTAATAAAAATATTCACGCACTACCTAGCAACCAGTTTTTTTCCTGTCCTTTTTCTCCAGTTCATTTTTATAAAAATTGTGTGTTTTGTACTTCTGATATTTCAACCATAAACATGAAAAAGTTTTACTGATCATTTACTTGCAGGTGAAGAAGTGTGAAATGTGCCTGTAGTTTAAGCAGGACAACATTTAAGGAGTAGGATTTGAATCTATGATTGTCTCATGTTCAATCTTCCTAGGTAAACATCATTTGTGGGAATTTTCAAATGAAAAACTACTTTGTCTCTACTCTATGACAGCTTCCACAAATTCCTAAGGACGCCGGACACCTTCACCTTCTCAGAAATACAACAGGTAGAGAAAGTCCTAATATACCACCTTAAACACTCCCAATCAGTTTGAAGAATTTGATTTTTCAAACCAGGATGTGTTTTATCTTTTTCAAAAAGTGTTTTCTAGCTCATTTTGAAATCATCAGTGCTGGTTACCTCCTCTCAATTCTTTCTATAAACATTCTTGTGTGATAATTTGAATTTCTGGAGGCGTTTGATCAGCTGCCTCTTATTTTCACAGAAAGCTTAATTTCCTATGCCTTTCTTATCTTTTTGTTTGCTTGTTTTTCAATGATACTGAAAAATAAGAGAGAAATCATACTTCAAACTCCACCCTTCAAGAAATCGGAGCCATTCAACATAAACCTTGGGTCTCAAAATCTCATTACTTCCTTGGTGGGTCCAGGATCACTTATTTTCATGTTTTATACATGTTTATGCTTAGTTTATGATTTCTTTTTTTTCAAAGATTTATTTTATTTATTTGAAAGCTAGAATTATGGAGAGAGATAGAGACAGAGAGAAGTCTTCCATCTGCTGCTTCACTCCCCCTATGGACACAACAACCAATGCTGGGACAAAATGAAGCCAGGAGCCAAGAGTTTCTTTCATGTCTCCCACATGGGTGCAGGGGGCCAAGGACTTTGGCCAACCTCAGCTCCTTTCTCAGGTGCATTAGCAGAGAGCTGGATTAGAAGAGGACCAGCTGAACTTGAACTGGCACCCATATATGATGCTAGTACTGCAGGCTGCAACTTTAACACACTACACCACAGTGTCATTCCTACCTTCATAATGTCTGATGTCAGAGCACAGAGGCTTACTCATGACCATCTCTTTCTTTTTTAAAAGATTTATTTATTTATTTGAAAGTCAGAGTTACACAGAAAGAGGACAGGCAAAGAAAGAGTAAGGTCTTCTATCCAATGGTTCACTCCCCATTTGGCCACAATGGCTGGAACTGTGCTGATCTGAAGCCAGGAGCCAGGAGCTGCTTCTGGGTCTCCCTCAGGTGCAGGGGTCCAAGGACTTGGAGCATCTTCTATTACTTTCCCAGGCCATAGCAGAGAGCTGGATTGGAAGTGGAACAACTGGGTCTTGAAATGGCGCCCATATGGGAAGCTGGCACTTCAGGCCAGGGCGTGAACCCACTATGCCACAGTGCTGGCCCCAAGACCATCTTTTAGCATTTACTTATTTACTTACTTGAGAATCAGAGATAGAAAGAGAGACAAAGAGAGAATGAAACAGAGGTTTGCCAGCTATAGGCTCACTCCTCAAATGTTTCAACAAACTATAATTTTCTTATTTATGAGAGGCACAGAGAAAAAAAAGAAAGAGACTAACAGAGAGTTCACATTTATTGATTCAGTCCTCAGCAAGTTCTGTGCCTGGGCAAAATCATGAATGGGAACTCAATCTGAGCAATGAGTTAGAAATAAGTTTCTGGGGGCTGGCATTGTGGCATAGCAGGTAAAGCCACCACCTGTAGTGCCAACATCACTTATGGGCACCAGTTTGAGTCCTAACTGCTCCACTTCTGATCCAGCACTCTGCTATGGCCTGGGAAAGCAGTAGAAGATGGCCCAATCCTTGGGTCCCTGTACTCACTTTAGAGACCTGCAAGAAGCTCCTGGCTCCTGGCTTCAGATTGGTGCAGCTCCAGCCATTACAGCCAATTGGGAAGTGAACCAGTGGATGGAAGACCTCTCTCTCTCTCTGTCTTATTCTCTCTGTCTCTCCTTCTTCTCTCTATCAAATAAATAAATAAATCTTTCAAAAAGACAGAAAGAAACATTAATCTTAAAAAAATAAGTATCTGTATGTTGCCTAATTAACAAGCACTAAGGAACTAATAAGTGCATGAAGGAAAAGGTATGAAAGTGTAGAGAAGGACAAGTTAGAATTTGGGGAATGTATCAAACCTAGATAAAAGCCTTAATAACATCAGAAAATGATTGGATTTTTTTTAATCAAAGAACATCTTCACTAAGAACAAAAGTTAGAAAGATACTGGTATCTCTAAACACTCTAGAATGCCTGTGGCTGATGCACAAAACCAGCTGTCATCAGGAGTAAGACTTCTGAAAAATTCATGGAAAGAGCACCAGTCAACATTTGCACACTATCTGCTTGGTCTCCCTGTCCCTTATGTGCAGACTGACCTGGAAGGCTTGGATTCAGGCATTCTTCCACCACCCATGGCTCTGCTCCTTGCTTCAACTTGAAGATCAAGTCAGGTTTGGTACTGCAGTGCCCTATTTATGGAAACAATGTGAGATTGTGAAATCACTATCTTGGATTATTTAAAGGACTACAGCTTGGTCCAAGAGCTATGCAACAAATCTTCCAACTTGAATCTTTTGTTGGATGGTAGATATTCAGATTATTCATGGAATCAAATTCTGTGTGTGTGTGTGTGTGTGTGTGTTGGTTTAAATTTATTTTTTTCAACTTTTATTTAATCAATATAAATATAAATTTAAATATATTTATATTTATAAACATAAAATATAAATATAAATTTCCAAGGTACAGCTTTTGGATTACAGTGGCTCTTTTCCCCTATGTTCCCTCCCACATGCAACCCTCCCATCTCCCGCTCCCTCTCCCATTACATTGACATGAAGATTCATTTTCAATTATCTTTATATACAACAGAAAATCAATTTAGCATATATTAAGTAAAGATTTCAACAGTTTGCACCTGCACAGAAACACAAAGTGTAAAGTATTGTTTGAGTACTAGTTACAGCATTAATTCACATTGTACAACATGTTAAGGACAGAGATCCTACATGGGCAGTAAGTGCACAGTGACTCCTGTTGTTGACTTAACAATTGACACTCTTTTTATGGCTTCAGTAATCACCCTAGGCTCTTGTCATGAATTCCCAAGGCTTTGGAATATGGAAGCCTTTTGAGTTTGCCAACTCTGATCTTATTTAGACAAGTCATGGACTCAAATTCTATACCTGTGCAATATTAAACATTATAAAATATTCCTTTATTTGTCAAATAGCAAGAAAATGTTATCACTGGGCATGTGATGGTTGTTGCTCACCCAAGGAGAACAGGTTGCTGTAGGTCTCCAGCATCACATCTCTGTACAGGATTTTCTGAGCATTGTTCATTTTCTGCCATTCCTCCCAGGTAAAGTACACAGCTAGGTCTTCAAATGCTATCATTACCTGTTACATTACACTTCCAGTCAACATGTTAACTCTGTCACAAAACAAACACTGACAATTGCGTGTGGATATGAAGGAAAAAAGGAAGGATATGGTTTCACATTAGACTTGTTGAGAGTTTAGAAAGCCGCACAGAAGCATTCAACAGAGTCAAACCCATGATCTACAGGCTGTGAAAAATGCCCAAGCTGGAGGAAAACAGGAGTTTCAAATCACAAAGGCCACATCTGTCAAGGGGAATTGCACAGCAGGCTAGAAGAGGGGCAATACAGACTCTTGAATGGGCAATGTTAAGGGAAGTATGTAGAATCATTGAGGAAAAAAGGCAAGAAACCATCAGTGAAACTATTATGGGAATAAACAGAAAATAATTTCCAGGAAAACACCATGCATATCACTTCCAATATGTCAGAGAAAAAAAATATACTAAAAGACAGGGCAGACATTTAGCTTAGTGTTTATGATGCCACCTTGGAGTGCCTATGTTGGATTTCCAATGCCAGCTTCAGTTTTTAGCTCCCAGATAATGCAGACCTGGGGAAGCAGTGGTGATGTCACCTATGAAGGAGGCCTAGATTCCATTTCTCAATCCGGGCTTCAGTCCTGCCCCAACTCTGTTTGGTATTGTTATTTAGGGAGTGAATGAATGTGTCAAAGCTCTCTCTGTCTCAGTCCATCAACTTCTTTCTCTATCAAGCTAATAAATATTTTTAAGTAAGAGAGAAAATATGGGTAAGAAAGAACACAAATTAGCTTTTGCTCTTGTCTGTGATTATTCTACTGATAAACATTTGAAATAACATTATACATAATTAAAGTGAAAACAATGGAATTACTTGCCCAAAACATTCAAATGATAAACACTTGAAATAATATTATACATAATTAAAGGAAAAGCAATGGAATTATTTCCCAAAAAGAAAACCTGGGAATGTCTGCAGTACAATCTGCACTTGTGACTCACTGAGAAAAATGCTTAGAGATTTGTTTAAGAACCTGTAATAGTCACCAGAATTGTGATGCAGCAGGCTCAGCCTCCACCATCACTGCTGGCATCCCATGTAAACAGAGGATTTAAGTCCTCGCTGCTCCACTTCCAATCCAGCTCCCTGCTAATCTGACTGAAAGACCAGTTGGAGATGGCCTGAGTATTTGGACCCTTCCTCCAATGTGGAAGACCTAGATGGAGTCTAGGCTCCTGGCTTTGGTCTGGCCCAGTCTCAAACATTGTGGGCATTTGGGGAATGAAACAGTAGATGGAAGATATCTCTTTCTGTCTCTCTGTCTCTCCCAATCTCTGTAACTCTGCCTCTCAAATAAATAAATAAATCTTAAAAAATAAGAGATTCTCCAGCAGATTCCTTCTCCCACATATTCCTTATCCTATTCCTGAATGCAATTCAGCTTCTCAAAGGTATTAAGGACTCCATTACTCTAACAATTCAAAAACAAACTTAACTGATTTGTGTTTTAGCACTCGGTAACTCTTCCTCTTGCAGAATGCTAAGTGTTTACTTCATAGGTAGCACTAAAACGCTGCTCAGTACATCTTCTATGTGATAATAAAGACTGTTTCAGACATCATGACCCCAAAAATGTAGCATATTGTGCTTAGTTTCAACTCAATTCATGTAACAAATATAGATTTTGCTATAGCAACAGAAAGAGACCAAACTGCAATATTATAGATGACAGTAATGTTTCATAATCATGCCAAATTCATAATTCATTTCTGTATATTCCATGAGAACAAATTTTATGTTTATTTTTCCATTTTAAATTTTTTTAAAGATTTACTTATTTATTTGAAAGTCAAGAGTTACACAGAGAGAGGAGAGGCAGAAAGAAAGAGGTCTTCCATCCACTGGTTCAGTCCCCAATTGGCCGCCATGGCTGGAGCTGCACCAATCTGAAGCCAGGAACCAGGAGCTTCTTCCAGGTCTCCCACATGGATGCAGGGGACCAAGGGCCTGGGCCATCTTCCACTGCTTTCCCAGGCCATAGTATAGAGCTGAAACAGAAGTGGAGCAGCCGGGTCTCAAACCGGCACCCATATTGGATGCTGATGCTTGAGATCAGGGAGTTAACCCACTGAACCATAGAGCTGGCCCATATTTTTCCACTTTAATTAACTAGTATATTGGGGCTGGCACTGTGGCATAGTGGATAAAGCCGCTGCCTGCAGTGCTGGCATCCCATATTAGTGCCACTTCAAGTCCCGGTGGCTCACTTCCAATCCAGCTCTCTGCTATGGCCTGGGAAAACAGTAGAAAATGACCTAAGTCCTTGGGCCCCTGCACCCGTGTGGGAAACCTAGAAGAAGCTCTTCACTTCTGGCTATGGATCAGTGCAACTCCAGCCATTGTGGCAAACTGGGGAGTGAACCAGCAGATGGATGACTCTCTCTCTCTCCCTCTGCCTCTCTGTAATTCTAACTTTCAAATAAATAAACAAATCTAAAAAAATAAATAAACTAACATTAAACACCTAAAATGAGTACTGACAAGCTGGGGAATAATTAAAAAAAAATACTTACAGGTGATATATTAATTTTCTTTCCTCTTAGAAACATGTGGAGGACACAGAATCATACCTGAGAAGATGAATGGAAGGAGTTCAAAGAAAACTCTGGAGGACAACTCTGTGGCATAATGGGTAAAGCTGCTGCCTGCAATGCCAGCATTCCACATGGGTACTGGCTTGAGACCTGGCTGCTCAATGTACAATCTAGCTTTCTGCTATGTCCTGAGAAAGCAGTGGAACACGGTCCAAGTCCTTGGGCCACTGCACCTGATGGGAGACCCAGAAGCTCTTGGGTCTTGGCTTTGGATTTGCTCAGCTCTGGCCTTTGCAGTAATTTGGAGGGTGAGCCAGCAGATGGAATACCTTCTCTCTCTCTCTCTGCAACTCTTTCAATAAATAAATGAAATCTTAAAAAAAAAAAAAACCCTCTGGTTTCCTTCTGCACTGAACAATGTAAAAAAGGAATATGATAGAATGAATAAAGAATAATGAATACATTAACCAAGGAAATATCAGCTTCACTGTGGAGGAATAAACCTGTAAAAATGGAAATATACAGGAAAATGCACCCACCTATATTAAGTGGCAGAGATTAAGCAGAAGTTATCATTGGTTTAATGAAAGCATTATCTACAAATTTTGTAAAATAATAATGTAAAAGTAAAAAGAAAATTTAAGAGTGTTCAAATAAATGAGGTTATCAAAGAGATAAACATTATGTTGTATTACAGTTTATACTAAAGAAAGTTATTTATTTTGGACATTATTTGTCTTTTAACACAAATGTACCACACAGGATTCTATATTAAGAACACTAACACTTCTTGTTTACTTACATCTGAAATTCTATAGAAAGCATGCAACTTATAGTTTCAAATTTTTTTGGCCAAAAATGCATTGAAACAAATACACATAATGTATATAAAATGCAGTGCACTTTACCAGTAATGATTCCAAGTAGCACCTTTCCCTGTATTCATCCCTTCACAAAACCCTGGATTGGGGCTGGCACTGTGGCCTAGTGGGTAAAGCTGCCACCTGCAGCACGGGCATTGGGCACTGGTTCAAATCCCAGCTGCTCCACTTCTGATTCAGCTCTCTGCTATGGCCTGGGAAAGCAGCAGAAAATGGCACAAGTCCTTGGGCCCCTGCACCCATGTGGGAGACACAGAAGAAGCTCCTGGTTCCTGGATTTGGATTGGGACAACTCTGGCCATTGCAGCCAACTGGGGAGAGCACCAGTGGATGGAAAACCTCTTTCTTTCTGCCTCTCCCTCTCTCTGTGTGTAACTATTTCAAATAAATAAAACTTTAAAAAAAAAAAAAGACCCTGAATTTCACCATTTCACTTGACTTACCCCCATGAGATATCAGTAAATGTAACAGAAATAGACAATTTGTTAAAAGATTTATTTATCTGAAAGAATTACACACAGAGAGAAGGAGAGGCAGAGAGAGAGAGAGTGAGAGAGAGAGAGAGAGAGAGAGAGAGAGAGGGAGAGGGAGGGAGGGAGGGAGAGAGGTCTTTGAACCACTAGTTCATTCCCCAGATGGCTGCAGTGGCTCGAGCTGTGTAGATCCAAATATAGGAGCCAAGAGCTTCTTCCAGGTCTCCCACATAGGAGCAGGGGCCCAAGGACTTGAGCCATCTTCTACTGCTTTTCCAGGCCATAGCAAAGAGCTGGATCAGAAGTGGAACAGCTGAGTCTTGAACTGGCACCCATATCAGATGCCGGCACTGCAGGCGGTGGCTTTACCTGCTATGCCACAGCCCCAGCCCCAGAAATAGATGATTTGTAAAGTATTTGCCTTCTCATATTTTCTTTTTTTGACAGTTATCTTCTGAAAAACCATGGGGCCTTCCGGTTGAAGAGATAGTATGTAGCCAAGATTCACCGCAAACCCCAGACACTTAAATGAAGCCTCAATCATTTCCCCAAATGACTAAACTCATTTCCGCTCCCAGACTGATCATAGGAACTGCCCAGCTGAGCCAAGCCCATAAAACAGAGTCAGAACTGCAAATCAAATGGTTATTTGTTAAGCCATTGTGTTTTCTGATTTGTCCTACATCAAATGCTGATACATACCATTAAGTATGCAGAAAGTTGAATTACATGCAAACAATTCATACAACCTCAAATCCATAAAACAGGGCCAGCATTGTCACATAGCAATTAAACCTGTCATCTGCAATACAAGCACCCCATATGAGCGCTGGTTCATGTTCTGGCTGTTCTGCTTTTGATCCAGCTTCCTGCTATGGCCTGAGAAAAGCAATGAAAGATGATCCAAATACTCGGGCAAACGCTACCAATGTGGGAGACCCAGATGAAGATCTTGTTCCTGGCCTCATTCTGTCCCAGCCCTGCTCAATGCAGCCATTTGTGATGTGAACAAGCAGAAGGAAGATCTCTCTGGGTCTCTCTTCTATATACAAGATTTTCAAATAAATTTTTAAAAAACTTAGAAAAAAAGCTCCTATAAACACAATCTTTACCTATCAATTAGACCTTAGGAAAGCTGCTGACACACACAAAAAAAAGTCCTGGGATTCATACATATATATTATCTGGAGATCATAAGGTTGTTCTTCACTATATGGTCATTGTGTTCTTTTGGTTTATATTTTAAGAAGCTTATTATCACATGAATCTGATTTAATATAATTTTACTATTCCAGAAAGCAGGATAAAGGTTCACAGTAATTTTCTGTAGCTGCATGTATACTGCATATTGTTCAAAAAGAAATTACTTAAAGGGGGAAAATTTTTATGATATGCTTTTTGTTTTTTTTTTTAAAGATTTATTTATTTATTTGAAAGAGTATAGAGCATAGAGCATAGGCAGAGAGAGAGGTCTTCCATCTGATGGTTCACTCCGCAAATGGCTGCAACAGCCAGAGCTGCACCAATCCGAAGCCAGGAGCCAGGTGCTTCTTCCAGGTCTCCCACATGGGTGCAGGGCCCCAAGGACTTGAGCCATCTTCTACTGCTTTCCCAGATCATAGCAAAGAGATGGATCAGAAGTGGAGCAGCCATCTTGAACCCATGCCCATATGGGAGGCAGGTGCTTCAGGCCAGGGCATTAACACACTGTGCCACAGCACCAGCCTCATGATATGCTTTTTGAAGTCACACACTCCAAACATAGCATTAGTAGCAAAAGGGAAGACATGCTCAGGGAAGTTTTCTAAAGCAGTACTATTTGAACTGGTAACAGTTTCTGAAACAGATCTGAAAAATAAATGATTTTTAATTAAGTGTGGCAAGACAGAGAACATTAGACAGAAGTTAGGGTGCTGGGTATTTACAAATCATGTGACACTACACAAACCACTTTTCTCCGGAAATAAAATTTGTTTCATCTTTTTTACAGAGATCCTGGAAAAACTTCCTTGAGCTACCAGGAAGAAGTCAGGGGGTAGTAGCATAGCCCAGGTTCTAAGTATATGACAGACTAGGTTTCACAGACCCCTATTTCTAGAGATCCTGGTAGTGGAATGAAGTAATGGGCATGTGGTAGGAAGCAATGAAGATAGTGACTCTCAGATAGGAGAGGTTATCCCTCTACCCCAGGCTGCACCCTTAAGACCACTGTCTTTCTAATCTATTCACAGCTGTCTTTTGAATGCTGGTCCAGAACTTCTAGTACCACCAAGTCTTAAAAAATAATGGATGAGATAAGTTGATATCATGTACATCTTGTTCACTCTGGTCAGTATGATCTGTAACTGCTTGGACCATGCAACTAGGATCTTTACTTTTCAATGATTTCTTGTCTGTGCTCTGAGCCTCAGGTGTTGTCTCAGAGAGCATTAAGTTGTATTCTGTGAGAAAAAATTCCTATTTCTGGAGCTGCCTTCTTCAAATACCATAACAACTACTAAATTCCAAAGGAAAAGGGACTGTCCCCCAGTACCCAAACTTCCATGTCCCCAGAAACTAGGTATTGTGTAAGTTCTGTAACCTTGAATGAGTAGTACTGGGCAGGCTATACAATGAAGGAAACCAGAAACTTCACTTGAAGAAGATATACCAGAAACCCCATAAATACAATTGCAACACAGTGTAAGTCAGGCTGCACACATCTCACAGTAAGGACATTTCACTAGTATTACTGCTACACTCATCTCAGAAATGAGTAAATAGTGGCAGAGGTGCAACCTACGTTCAACTCATATACAATTCAGCTCAAATGGTGTGAACACCCATCTCCACACCACAGCCATCTTGTATGAGACCAGTTGTCTACAGAAATTTTAGGACCCCTTTCTGTATACCTGGAGGCCCACTGGTCTTCTGTCAGACACATCATCTTTTTTTTTTTTAAGGATTTATTTTTATTTATTTGACAGGATACCAAGAAATGGAAAAATCTTCCATGCTCATGGATTGGAAGAATCAATATCATCAAAATGTCCATTCTCCCAAAAGCAATTTATACATTCAATGCAATACCAATCAAGATTCCGAAGACCTTCTTCTCAGATCTGGAAAAAATGATGCTGAAATTCATATGGAGACACAGGAGACCTCAAATAGCTAAAGCAATCTTGTAGAACAAAAACAAAGCTGGAGGCATCACAATACCAGATTTCAGGACATACTACAGGGCAGTTGTAATCAAAACAGCATGGTACTGGTACAGAAACAGATGGATAGACCAATGGAACAGAATAGAAACACCAGAAATCAATCCAAACCTCTACAGCCAACTCATATTTGATCAAGGATCCAAAACCAATCCCTGCAGTAAGGACAGTCTATTCAATAAACGCTGCTGGGAAAACTGGATTTCCACATGCAGAATCATGAAGCAAGACCCCTACCTTTCACCTTACACAAAAATTCAATCAACATGGATCAAAGACTTAAATCTACGACCTGACACCATCAAATTATTAGAGAGCATTGGAAAACCCTGCAAGATATAGGTACTGGCAATGACTTCTTGGAAAACACCCCAGAAGCACAGGCAGTCAAAGCCAAAATCAACTATTGGGATTGCATCAAATTGAGAAGTTTCTGTACTGCAAAAGAAACAGTCAGGAGAATTAAGAGACAACCGA